AGCCAAGTCAGTGTTGTCTGAGGGCACTGGAGAGAAGGGCTGTGGTCTGTAGAAGCAGATGTGCAGTAGAAGCAGCATTGTGTTGCTGTCATGAGGTTTCAAAGGCAGTGCTGTGTAGAAAAAAGGACACAATCTTGCAAGTCCCAACCTTTGAGCTCTGTCCCCAAACTGTCTCTGACACAGTGACCTCAAACAAGCAGTTTGTCCCCTCTGTACCACAGTGATCACCATCTGCAAGAGAGAAGTGACAACATCTGCACTGGATGGGATGCTGAGGCTGCTAACAAGGGGTTGGAGCTCCTAGAGTAAAGCAGCATTAACCAGCCTCCAGTGCAGAGCCTGAAGCATCCTTCCCAAGTGCCTACAGCTCTGAGTGCACAGTTTGGCACTGTGGGCCCCACTCCTGTCTGGGTTCAGCCTAACAAGGGTCAGCACAGGGCAAAGATCTCTGCCCACTCACCCACCATGATCTGTTGTGCCACGTGCTGGCCTGGACCTGTATGAGATAACACAGCTGGAGGCAGGAAAGCCACGAGCATTTCCTAGGTACTGTCCATGCCCCAGCCAGCCTGGATGCCCCACTGCAATGTCACTGCTCACGTGCCCAGCACCCAGAGGGGACAGCTGCCTCCTCATCCAGCAGCTTGGAGGGGATGCACTTCTTGCATGGCATCCACAAACAGCCACGTGTCTGGAATGAGAGCTTCTTAAAACATCCTGGGCCCTCCACCTCGTTGTGAAATCTCATTAATTCCCAGAGACACACATTTGTACCTGATTGAGCAAATCATAGAGACTGGGCAAAAATGCAATGGCTTTGAATCAGATCCTTTCCCCCTCCCTGGGAACTGTGCTTGCCTCACACAAAGGAGCCTTCCTTGGAGAGCCTCTCCACGTGCCCCTGGGATCTGCCACGGGGAGAGGTGAGCCCAGCAAGGGCGAGCAGAAACAGTGTCATAATCAGACTCTCCACTTTATTTAGAAACATCCCGCAGAGATGGCGACCTCCTGTCACCTCCCTTGTGGGAAAAGCTAGCTTGAAGTGTTGAGCTCAGCTATTTATATCCCTGCTGATAGTCTTGCTTGTCTCCTGAAGAGGAGAAAACTTTCTTCCTAGCCACCTCCAGGGAAATAAACTCATATAAAGTTGATTGCACAGGAACAGCCCCCCTGGCTCTCTGGTGTGGATTTGCAGGCTGTTCATCAGAGCCCCAGTGATGTGAAATGCTCTTGTGTCCTTCAGAGCACGTGGCATGGCCAAGAGGATGGGCAAAGCTGCTCAGAGGGCAGCAGATACTTTCCCTCCTGCAGATAAAGGTGGTGCAAAAAAGGAATGGCGGAGAGCAGCCCGTGGCTGGGTGTGCTAGCAGGTGCCGTCCCCGCCGGGGTATTTTTATCGCGGAATTTGGCAGTCACAAGGCAGCCCGGAGCTGAGCAGACTCCATGCTCGGCCCGTGGGGTGATGCTCAGTTTTCCTCAGCTTCAGGGGCGCTGCAGGTGATGACTGAGCTGGGCTGGCCATGGTGCTGGGTCAGTGCCAAGCTGCCCTGCTCTGTGTCACACACGCTTCTCCCAGCGCCAGGGTCCCGTGACGGCGCCCAGCTCCCGTGGGATCCAGCAAAAAGCTGCCAGCAAAAACCATGGAAGGGCAGTGGCACAGCCCACAACTGCTCCTGAATATGCATGACCCTACTGCCAAGACTATCTTCTACCAGGTGCTGAGACCCCACAAAAATACCCAGAGGTGTTCTTTGCCCAGTCACACCAGAGTGAGATGGGATTTGTCCAACTGAGCCCAAACTAGGAATATAAAAGGCTGTGGATGCTCAGACGCTGAGAGAGGTCAAAGCATGTGAGGGCAACAGTAGTCTGGGACTGAGGAAAAAGAGCTATATGGAAAATTCCCAAGAATAGTAAAGCTATGAGGAGAAAGGCTAGGTCAGGGGCAGCTCTGCATAGCCAGGAAAAGCTGTCGGAAGGTGACAATCCTTCTTTTCTTGCTGGCAGCAGAGAACTAGATGCTCTCAAAGACCCTTGGTCTGGCGCTGCAAAAATAGCTCGCTGTAAGTATCAAATGTCTAAGCCAAAAATGCTGCTCTAGGAGGGAAACTCCTTCTCTTGGTTTCCAAAATCTGTTCCCCTGTGGCCACGTACGCCCTTGCAGCAGCCACCTCAGCTCTCTACGGGGCTGTAGCAGGATGATCAGGAGGCACCTCTGGGCCGTCCCTTCTTTGGACAGTCTGTGCAGGGGAGGGCAGAGGAAATGTCCCTATTATCTAGCCCAAGCCTCATGACTACCAACCTCAGATCCTTCTGATTTACAGCCTCCTGAAATATTCTGTGCATGTGTGAGACAGGTAAATTGCTGTCCTTCTTGCATCCCTTAACATTTTTTATTTCTGGATTCCTCTTGCACTTCTGTTTGCTTTACTTTGTGTGCTGCATATCCTGATTTTTACAATTTACAAGTGTCTAGGCTTAGTAGCCATCCCTGGGGAAAGCAAGCTGTTACAAAACCCCCAATAACCTGCACACAGTGGAATGGATGGGAAGAGGGGCTCAGTTTGTGACTGTACTTCCCTGTGGCAGTAAGTAGCAACAGCCTTTGCACAGCCAGAGAGAGCTGTGTTCATAGTTACACAGCCAAGCAAGGTGAAACAAGAAAAGGTATGTGTAAACAACATAAACTCACCTGGAAAAGTGCTGCCTTGTAAGGAATATTCCCCACATACAGCTGTGCTGCAGCACAGCGATGTTGGACACACGTAACACTGAGTTGTAGGCAGCTGGTTGCCTTCTCTGCACTCTGGGGGAAAAAAGCAAACACGCTGATCTCAGTGCCACAGTCTGTAAATATTTCCCATCACTGATTTATCTGCCTGTGTTTAATCCCCTGGTGCTCCTGGAATGAATCCATATGCTAATCTCTCCAGAATGCAGGAACTGCACCAAAGCCATCTCAGAAGGTAAGACAGACCCACACATTCAACAGCTTCCACCAACGCAGGCGAGAGGAGCCAGAAAGAGCAGCTGATTTTCTGTGTTACTGCTCCTCCAGCTCTGGGCTGGCAGCAGACCAAAGCCTCTGCATATGCCAAGCAGCCACCAGGATCTCCATCCATCAGCATGATTGCAGCACGCCTGCCAGGGCAGGAAGGAGCCAAGGCCCATCCTTTGCTTCCTGCGTGTCCCTTCTCCCTGCTCCCATGGCTTCTGACAGGTAGTGGGACAGCAAGTGGCCACTGCCCTGTCTCCCTTCCTGAGCAATCCCCACCTTCCCCAGGGCAGCCCTCAGCAGCACCAGGAACTGAAGATTCACCTTTGGATCTTTGTCCCATCCATCCTTGCAGCTGGACACAGCACAGGAACAAAGCATGGGATGAATTATGGCGTGTGCTGCTACATTAAATTATATCACTCACATAACTAGAGGAGGGGATATTTTTCCCTCAACAAGTATATCTGTTCTCCAGCTTTTGCTCACAGGAAGTCTACACAATATTGCTACAGTAAATTTTCAGCTTTTAACAGTGTCTGCTCTCCACAAATGTTCTTTGCACTATAAAAATAATTGGCTCCTAAAGACAGGACAAGGAACAATAAAGGAGAGTTAACAATTTGGTCCCTGGGGCTTTGGGATTTACCTTGACTAGTGCTTTTAATATTTCATTATGATGATTATTTCTACATTAACTTATTAAAATGCTATTTTCCAAAAGAATGACTGTGGGAGGACATTAGCTCCGAGGTAATAGAGCACACTTTATAGCACCCAGCCCTTAACTCTCACCAGGGAGAGCTTTACAGTGCCCTGGCAAGGTGAGTATGGTGAGCATAACTGGATCAAATGATTGCTCAAGCACTCCCACAGAGCCCCACAAAAGATGCACTAAACCCACAGCTCTCTTTTTATCCATCAGGTTAAGTGACTTGGCCAGAAACAGTCTGTCAGAGTCAGGAACAAAACTGAAACAGGCCCTCCTCTCCATTTCCATTTTGCAATCCTACTCCCAGTCCAGCAAACCTTTCCTGTCATCCAACCACCTACCATCAGCACTTCCCAGGAGTGCTGCTCCTTGGGAGGCACTTCAAAGGAGGCTTTTTTCTTTGTCTCTTTCATTTGAACTGTGAATTTTTCCCTCATAATTTAAGAAAAGCAGAAGGAGCAAGACCCACCATTTAGATTTCACAGCAGTTCCCTCTCAGAGAGGCACAACAAGGTGGCAGCAGATTAGGTTTCCAGAACTGGCACAGCCCACCAAAGTCTTTACACTCCCCTAAACATTTGCAGCTTGTAAATGAAACACTTACAGCTGAAAACACTGCAAAACCAAAGCAAAACCTACAGACAGGGAGCAGGTGGGCAACAGAGGGGTTTTCTCTGTGCTTCAGTGGTGGCACTGAGCCCATAAAGGAAACCCAGAGCTGCACACACTTCACATTACAGTTGGTGCAGGTATTACACAAAGGCCACATCTGACAGTGCCACTGCTCAGGCCAGGCTGTAGATTCCAGTCTTATTTCCCAGGGGATCAGCCCACTAAGGACTTCCCAGAGTGCAGTCTAGAGACAGCTGAATGCTGCTTTAACGTGCCAGTCCACAGAGGATGCAATATGCAGATCACAGTGAAAGGACTTTCTGAATCAAAAATAAATCTGGCTCACCCTCAAGGTTTTGGGAACTCATTTAGCAAGCTGTGGATGAGTTATATAAAAAACAAGACCACTTTTTGTTTCAGTAGCTGAATTTAAAAAGAAAAAGAACTCCCAAGAACAACACAAGGTTTCCCGCGGATGTGAAATAGTTTTCAGCAAAACAGACCTCATTCATTTCAGGGCACATGAAAACATTTCCTCTGACACAAAGCAAAAAACTCCATTTCACTCCATCCATTACCAGCTGGGCATTTCCTAACCCTCCTTAGAACCACTCTCTGCTCTCTCCCAACAGAGGCTTGTGCTCAGCTCTCAAGACTCCTCACCCCTCCTGGTGAGCAGCAATGGGGGAGTGGAGCTTCCTGGGCGACTTCCTCGAGAAGGTGCACAAGCACTCCACGGTGGTGGGGAAGGTCTGGCTGACCGTGCTCTTCATCTTCCGCATGCTGGTGCTGGGGACGGCGGCCGAGTCCTCGTGGGGGGACGAGCAGTCCGACTTCATGTGCGACACGCAGCAGCCCGGCTGCGAGAACGTCTGCTACGACAAGGCCTTCCCCATCTCCCACGTGCGCTTCTGGGTCCTGCAGATCATCTTCGTCTCCACGCCGTCCCTGGTGTACATGGGCCACGCCATGCACACGGTGCGCATGGAGGAGAAGAGGAAGATGAAGGAGGCAGAAATTGAGGCCCGAGAGAATAAAAATGGTGGTGACACCTACTACCAGCAGAAGTGCTCCGTGGCAGAGAAGGAGACTAAGCTGTCTGGCTGGGATGAAGCAGGAGGCCAAATCATACTGAGGGGCAGCCTGCTGAACACCTACGTGTACAGCATTTTGATCCGGACCGCCATGGAGGTGGCCTTCATCGTGGGGCAGTACGTGCTGTACGGGATCTTCCTGGAGACCCTGTACATCTGCCAGCGGGCACCGTGCCCCCACCCTGTCAACTGCTACGTGTCCCGCCCCACGGAGAAAAACGTCTTCATCGTCTTCATGCTGGCCGTGGCAGTGCTCTCCCTCTTCCTCAGCCTGGCCGAGCTCTACCACCTGGGCTGGAAGAAAGCCAAGGAAAGGTGCTCCAGGTCGTACAAAGCCAGCCCCAGCACGGCCCCAGGCAGGCTGGAGTCTGCCCCGCAGGCGGACAGGCCACAGATGTACACCCCGCCCCCGGATTTTAACCAGTGCCTGTCCAGTCCCAACGGGAAGTTCATCAGCCCCTTCAGCAACAAGATGGCCTCCCAGCAGAACACCGCCAACTTCGCCACCGAGAGGGTCCACGGCCAGGAGGATGCTGCTGGGGAAGGGCCCTTCATCAAGGCCAGCTACGTGGAGAGTCCGGAGGTGGCCAGTGAATGTGCAGCCCCTGCCTTCCCCGAGAGCTACTTCAACGAGAAACGCCGGCTCAGCAAGGCCAGCCGTGCCAGCAGCAAGGCGAGGTCGGATGATTTGTCTGTGTGACCTGTCTCCAGCAGGGATGAGGAGAAGGAGCTGTCCCAGCACTCAACTTCTGCAAAGTGGGCTCCAAACTCTTACCCCTAACCTCCCTGTTTCAATATCCTCTCTCTATCCTGTCCAGACAGCACCTCTCACAGCTCAAGGCAGGGGCAGCCACAGGCACTGAAGAGAGACACCAGCCTTGTGCTATGAAGCCCTCAGCTGTATTTTGACCATGGGACCCACAGGGATTAGAGACTCCCCACCCTTAGCCTGGTAGAGCAGGGGCCAGCAGACTCCTGCCCACTGGGTATCCACTGAGACACTGTATTCAACACACTGACTGGGCCTCTACATCTTTGTGGTCTCTATCCAACACTTGCAACATCAGCCTGGCAGTTACACTGAGCTGAAGCTTCTCTCACCTGCAGGGAGCAGAAACACACCAGTCGGCTTTCTGAAAGAGAGATTTTCTCATCTGCTTCATTTTGGCTCTTTCTAACCCTTCCTTCCTCTACCTGAGCCCAGATATTTTATACGAGTTTACCTACACAATAAATCCTACTTGAATTTTGACACTGTGTATATAACAACTCTTCCCCATAAATAAGGACATCTGTGGTCCCCAGTGCACAGCTGCCTCATGTCTAACATTGGAATCCCTTCCTCATTCCTAAGTCAGCAGAGCAGACTGGCCCCAGGGAAATCACTTAGATGACCAGTTGATGAAGACTGGGTAATTTTCCCAAGATACTTATGTCATCAATCCTAAGCAAGACATCCATCACCAGAAATAGAGACTCTCCTGTGAGAACAGATATCTCACAAGTATCATGTAGAAACAAAGTGGTTTTCCCCTTTTTGAAACTCATCTTTCAAGCAATCTGAATTCTGCTGAAAGGGTGCTGCCAGCTGCCCACTTGAGAAAACAGCATCCTCTGTTTATCTGCAGAAGAGGTACGGCCTGTGTCTTCTCACCAACCCACCAAAACACTTCAGCATCCTCTGCAACAGAGAGTCCTGCTCAGGTCCTGCATATCATTCAGCTCCTGCCTGCTCTCTCAAGCTTGCCAGCCTGCACAGGTCAAGCTATTTGTCCCCACAGCAAGGTCTGCTCTGCCCCCAGGCCATCCTCTCCACCCCATCCATCCCTGGCACACACAGTGCTAGAAATCACCCATGGACCAAGTCTTTCCACCACTGCAGCCCCTCAGAGCAGCCCCTGGGGGCAAAGGCTGCACTGTGAGTCTGGTGGGTGAGGTCTGCAGGCAGCTCCCTCTCCAGAGACATTTCCTCAGTGCAGAGCTGACACCCCTCTGTTAGAGATCTGCTGAACAGAGCCAGGCTGCTCCCTGTTGTTTACCCTGCACTGCCCTTTCAGACACAGGCCACAGCTTCCCAACACTGGACTGCACAAGCACATGGCCTGGGACCAGCTGATGAGGGGACTGAGCCATTCCCTCTCTCAGGGCCACTGAGAGTGAATCCCTGCTCCTGATACACAGCTTTGGTACAGCTCCCTGTACATTCAAATACACGTTCACACTCAGATGGGGGAAACCATGTTTTTGTTTGTAAGTTTTTATATGTTTGTATTTTTTAATCCTGAAAAGACCGTGTGTGTTTTCCTTAACATGAGATCTTAGTCATGTCTAGGTTTCTCCTAATAAAGTTCTAACTGCATCTCTCCTTGTGGATGTCTCTCCTCTCACATGGCTGAGAATGAGCTGCTAGCAGGGCTCAGGCTGCCCACCAGCCTCTGCTGCTCAGAGATCACAAGAATTCCCATTGCCCAGAGTGGCAGGAATGAGGAGAGGGTTTGCCAGGGGGATAAATAATAAACATCAGGAAATGATTGATTGACTGGCTAACAGGAACCCCCCAGCTCCCCTGCCTGCCTCTGCATTACCAAGGAAGGAGGAGCTGGTCAGCGAGCAGAGCTTCCATCCTCCTGCAAAGGCTTGCTCCCTGCATCTCCTTGCATATCCCAGCACACCTCTGTTCCCAGAGAGGACACCTGTGATGTGAAGCCAGCTAGGCAGGAAGAGGGAAGCAAAACCTGTACCCCCTGCATCTGATTGCTTGTCCATGCAGAGACCAAGCCCTGAAGTCTTTGTAAGAGACCAGGCCTTGAAAAAACCCACTGCTAACCACCTCTGCAGCGACCCTTTGGGTATCAGATCTCTCAAGATGTATTTGCCCAGCCCAAAGGAATTCCTTTTCTTCACTCAGTTATGTCCTTCCTCTGAAATTTATCCTTTGCTCTCCCACTTTCCAACTTTCACAGGCTCTCTCCTTCTGGCCTTGGATCCCCCTGTTCACTCAAAGGAAATGCCCTTTCTCACTTTCTCCACACAACCTCCCATCCCGTGGGACTCTGCAGGCTGGGAAGCTGCAGACCAGCAAAGTGCTGGGTCCCAGCAAGGAGCCTGAGAGGGGACATAAAGAATGAATCCAGAATTCAATGAGGACACTGGGACAAGGACCTTTAACTGCATTAGAAACTACAGGCACCCTTTAAGATTAAGGAGCTGTGGTTTGGGGGTTTCCAGCTCAGGGGTGAGGATGCCAGCTGAGCAGCCACAGTGCAGCAAGAAGGCAGGGTTGGTCCTGCAGAGCCTGGGTTTTTAGCCGGCATGGGTACAGCCCCGAGCACGCCTGTCCCCTAGGGTGCCACCTTGCTGCCAGAGACAGGCAGTGGGGACGGCAGGAGCACTCACCGTGGAACACTTGGCTACTGAGTGACATTAAATTCAGTAAAGCCACTCAAGCGTGAACACAGACCTTGTTTAATAAACTGTTTGTGGTTTAAAACAAGCAATAGCCCAAACTTCAAAAACTCTGAGCTGTGGTGTCTGCTGGAGGGCAAGGCAGAGCTGAAAAAAGAGGACAAGGATCTCCTCTGTGCTGTCTCAGACCCATGTTCACGGGTGGGGTTTTGGTGATCTTTGAGACCAGGGAAGTACAACCACCCCAGCTCTCTCTCATCTTAGAGATTGAATGTATCAATGCAAATAATTTCCCTCTGTCACCCAGTTCTTAATGCCTCCACAGTTCTGTCTTCTGGGTATAACAAGTGGGGGAGATGCAAACATCCATCCATATTTGCACTAGCTGACAAACCATGAACTTGTGATTCTTGGAACCCGCTGTCAAGGCTGGCCAGGCTGTCACACCATGGCAGCAGCACATTTACTACAGGCTGACCTGTCCTTTCAGACAGACTTAGTAATATTGCTTTGGACCAGATGGATGGATAGACAATTTTATAGTAGCAACTTGAATCAACATTACATATTAAATTCAGTCCTTGGATAGGTACTCAATCTTTAAATGGCAGCATTACAAAGACAATGCCCTGAGAGAGAGAAAAGAAACACAAGAGCTTTCCATTCTGTTCTTGCCCCTCTTTTCTCCAATTCTACCTGCTGGGACTGCTCAGACTCTCAGAACTGTGAATTCCCCAGCAACAGCTGGAACCAACATTTGACAGAAATGCCAACCCCAGTTACCTCCTTGGTCAGCACACCTCAAACCATTTCCTCCTCTAGCTGATGTCTGAAGGAGCCAGAAGTCAGTTCTGATCTACAGTCTTGTGCTGATCAGCTGCTGAGCCTGAGATAGGAAGACAGAGGAACGTGTTTCAACTAGCCTTTAAAGCAGAAATACTTAATCCTATAAAAGGAAAACCTATATTTAAAAATACATAGAATGCCAAAACTAATAAAGTATTGAACTGAGACAAGGTCATGCCTTTGAGTTCTTCTCCATGAACAGCACAGTGAGACATCAGAGCAGGCTAAGGGAAATTTGAAGGAGAAACTGAGGGAGAGGAATAAAAGTAATGGCTGATCTAGAGGACATGGGTCAAGCAAGTTGTTTCCTCTTCCAGAATATGTGGGCAAGACAAAACTCAAGCAAATTCAGCGCTGATAAGTTTCAGGCTGTTAGAGGGGAATAGGTAAGGAGATGACAGCTGGCACAATCCCCCTTCCAACACTTTTCCATGAAACATCACTGAGGCCAAGGAATTAGGAAGACCCAAACCCCAAAGAACAAAAGCACTGTGTGTTCAGAGCAATGAGCCATGCTTGACTGGACTGCAAATGGCCAAAGTACAAGGAAGGCAGAAATTCAGAGCTCAGGAAGGCGGCGTAGCAGAGCAGGGAGCCTGGCACACAGCAAGGGCAGGTTCTCCAGAGCAGCCTCCCTGCTGGCATCGCTGCCTCCCGGGAAGCCTGGGGCTCACATGGGCACAAGGGGATCTGCTGCTCCCAGGGGAGCTCCCTGGGGATGCTCTCAGCAGAGTGAGGGCCCCTGAGGGAATCCAGCAGCTCCTCCCAGCAGGGCTGGCAGCAGGGGATCCTGTACAGGGCTGATGGCAGGTTCTGCACACATTGGTGAATACAGAACATTTCAGTGGTTCGGGTTAGCGGGGCACCAGAGCTATGCATAGACTGAGAATGGGGATGGAGAGTGGCAGCTCTATAAGATACACTTTGTGGGGGGAAAAGCTCTGACTTTGAAGTGCAAAATTAATAGCTTTGCTTTTGCCTGAAGTGTTCGTTGCTTATATGGTCTAGATGATTAAAGATCTTTCTGGGGAGCTTGGGAATTCTAATACCATACACATATAACTTTGTCATGAAAATCTGATGACAGAAAAAGAAGGAGGATCAAATGAGCTTGTAAGACTCACTGCAGCCAAATAATGCAGAAATGCTTCATTTTTCCTGCAGTGAACATTGGTTCACATTTTTAAAAATGAATTTGCTGAGGCCACATTCACATACCACCACTGGTTTCCCACAGACCTTTGAGCAATTGAGTTTGACGGGCAACAGAGTTCTCAGAAAGTAAATGTCAGTCAAGGAAACCAAATTTTAAATTCATATGGGCCAATATCCACCCCAGAGGCAGCTCCGTGTTCCTTCAGCCCTCAGGAAGCACAAACAATATTGTGTAACCAATCCAGTGCTGTGCAGCCAATCACAAACCAACCAACACACTTCCACTGGAGATTT